GGGGTGGGGGCTAGGGAGCACAGCCCTGTAAGTTTCTGAGGATTGTCAATTAGTAGACCTTATTTTGACACATAAATATGATAAATGGCTGTATTTTTAATTTTTTGCATTGATATACAACAATGAAATCTGTCTCACTCTGATATATATTTGTTCTCCGTTTTAGTGGGGCGCACACTGAGAGCGCCTCAGCTTAAATCTGCGCCTGTTCTGCGGTGTAATTTGTGTCCTGTATTTCTCAAAATAAAAGAAAAAAATAGAGTGCGTTTAATGCAGTACAACGATGCTAACAATGCCCACCACTTTGAACGTTTTTAGAAGACGTAGAATAAAAAAAATATCAAAGAAAAAAATGCCCTAAATCCAAATATATCCTAGCCCAAAAAAAAGATGATTTTCAGGTCAAATAATTCAAGAAAATACATGTACTCCATTTCTGTCAAGTTCCTGCCTTCGGTACAAGTAACCAAACTGAAAAAGTGCAGCTATCTGCGAATGTCTTATTTTCCTAATATTTCAGAGAGTTAATGTCTTTGTCACATGCATCATGTGGCTCATTCAAGTAAGTTATTTATAGTTGAAAAAAATATTCTCAAAGACGCAAACAATTAAATACCGCACATGGAAAGGTAGATGGGGGTGTCAGAATTTTGCCGGGGGAGGCACATCATCTGTAATAAATGCCAGACTCGATTTTTTTTTTAACCAACGGAAAAAAAACATAGCAACTTGCATAGGCAATCCTGAAAATCCTATTCGGGAGGGGGGGGGGGGTTGTGGGGTTGTTCCTGATATTCAATTTTCTACAGATATTGGTAGATGACTCTCCTTACCTTTTTAAGGGGGTCCGTCTTTCCTAGGGTGGGTCAAACGTACTTTTTCGTTACCTTTACATAGAAATGTATTAAGTCTGAACATTCCATGAGAGGCCCGAACCCCTCCCCTTCCCCTATAGACCACCCATGAGTGTGGATTCATTTGTTTTTGCATTTAAAGCTACTCAATCCTTCTTACGTCCCTGTTGGAAGAGTTAGGACCATGAAGAAAAGATACTTTTCGACGAGAAAACATCTTATGCAAAACATCCTCCCCTCCCATATTTTTTGCACTACTATTTTGTTATATATATCATCCATTTACGGAATTCTTCTTAGAAAAAAAACCCATAGTTGATCATCCCTTATTATTATCCGTACATATTATGCAACTAATTCACACATTATTCATGTACGTACTTGCAATCAAAAAATGCTAATCAGTAGGTATACATTATGATCATTTACACAGCTTTTTGTACATGTGGTATTTTTATAGAGTTTTTTTACAGCTAAATTCAATTTATACTATTGTATTTAAGCTATAATTTCAGAATAGATGGTATGTAATTGAAGTCTGAATGTAATTGAAACCTGAAAGAAAATTCAATTGTCATCAGACTACATACAAAGTATTAATTTATTAAATGTTTACTATCTTCTATCAAAAATATCTCCCTCACAATACTTAGAGTAGTCCAAAACCCCTGATGTGCCTTACTTTTGCAATCCCGAAAACATTCTCTTTTATCAAACTTGTTGTCCCAAGATTTATGACCTTTACTGCAGTGCTAGTCTAAAACGTAGGGTAAAATGATATTTCGCATGTGTGTTTGCAAAGGAACGTGATGTGGATAAAATTAAGCTGAGAGGGAAAAACGAGATGACCTAAGAATCCGATTTTCCCTGGTGTACACAATTTACTGCCTCTAGCTAGAAAAATCAAAATCTATAATGATATCGAAAAAAGCTATTTTTTCTTTTCATCTTAATGTAGAAACTTCTTTACACTCTTCTGTAGATCCTCACAAATTAAATAATTTTCAATAAGTATACATTACTAAGACATGTACTAATCGAAATTTGTCAGTGACAAACTCTTCTCAAATGCAGATCTTAAAGTACCAAATAAATGAGCAATTAATAATTCCATTGAAAGAGTATTAAAGTATGTAATGATGTACATGTAATATATAAATGTTCAAATTCGGAAATAACACTGTCATGTATGTAACTTTTGTCTGTATTTCCAAACCGATACATCTTTAATTGTACTATTTGTCTATCTCCATTCTCAGGCATGCTATAAAACCTGTTTTGAATTGTCACCACTGTTTATGTTTATCTCTGTATATAATTGTAAAATTGTGATGAGATTAATAAATTCAGTTAAGACATTGTATTTTTTACTTTTTTTCTTGTTTCTTTTTCTACAATGTACTAAATATTGTTTCATTTTATAGGGATATTAATGAGATGGAAAAGACTATACTTAGATAATTTAAATTCTCAAATGTTAAATTTCAATCAATTCAGATGTTCATTAGATTTTCGCATTACAAAACTCGAGCATTTTGACTGTTGCTGAAATGAGTTAATCACATTATGCTACATGTATATGTCCACCAAAATCCACTTACACTATATAATTGTTAATTAAATAACTTGTTTTTGGTATATTCTCTGTTTTAGATATAAATAAATGAAGAAAAATGTATATACCGCCTTATTTTGAGCAAATTACCGGGTACTTCACACTTTACACAAGTAAAGATAGAAGATAATGCATTGTATATATGTTGATAACACAGGTACTTTTGGTTTGGTCAGGACCCCCCCCCCCCCCATTATTTAACCCTGAGGCTTATTTGAGATTTCTTTACAAATTATAATTATTACGCTTATTTATCATGTATTTCATTGGAAAAATAGTGGGAAAAACGCCAAATAATCGTTCCAGACAAAAAATATCCCATTTAAATTATATATTTTTCCTAACCTTTTTTTTTCTTAAACAAATAAGAGAATACATGTACACTCTAAAAGCAAACAAAAAAGTTATTATGCAAACAGGTTCCTTATATTTATGACAATGGAGGAATAATATATCAGCTCTAAAATTTTAGATCCACCTCCGCTTCTTACAATACTGTTGAGTGTGAGTCATCATCCTATATTCATTGAATTTGCGGCTAGGAGAAATTTCACGTGTTCACGTTCGGCACTCCTTGGAAAGTGGTTTCCAGCTGTGCCTTATTACCAGATGATTGACATAATATCTTTTATGTCTTGAGTTCTTGAATCTATCTAGTTTCAAGCACTCTAAAGCTCTCGTAATTTTGAGGTAATTAAAAGTTAGGGGCTTGGAATGGATAATCTTGAGTTTAACCGATCAGAAATCTATCAAAAAGATGTTTAGCTTTTTAAAAAAAGATGTGTCTATATCTAATATTCGTCAATAAACAAAGTTAACATGAACATTCATAATACAAATATCAGTGTATTATACTGAACACTTATATTATCCACCCCTGATCGTAGAGATGGGGTCAATTATATACCAAAGTAATTAAATTACTTTGTCAAATTTTTCAGTTCAGATAACTGCAATTCACAAATTTATTTAATTAAATTATATACTTTGCAAAAGAAATAAATTATTCTAAAAATTACATTTTATAAATTTTAATTCTTTTAACAGTGGTTTATTGGAAGAAATGCTCTTGTGAACTGTATTCGATAGCGAAGATATAGATCATATTTCAATGTTCTGTTCTGTTCTATTTCCAAATCATAATTTTTTTCAAAGCATTTAATCATAGTTAGATGCAATTGTTAACTAGGTCATTCTTTTGGCAATGTTCGGGAATGTAGAATCTTTTCAGCTTAACTTACTTTGTCATATAATTTTCTGATCCAGCATATATGTACCTGGAACTCTCATCTTTGAAGTTTTATGGAGCAGATAACACAAACTTTTTTTCCCGGAAATCAGCCATATATCTAAGAAATTTATGTTTCATTGAGATGGCTTGAATAAATATGGAAATTTTGTAAGATGACAAATATGTCACAAAATGTGTGAGAAAAAAAATTGTAGACTATATAATTTATATTTTAAAGAATTTAGTATTCATGTCATTTCTTTGAAAATTAGTTAATAAAAACAATATATCATTCCTGGATTTAAAAAAAATGTTTGTGATATTCATCCTTCAACATTAAGCTTGGGTGTTTGTACTTATGTTAATCTAGAGAACTCTTAATTACCCCAAATCCCTGAATAGAACATTATCATGGGTGTAAATGTGGAAACGTCAGTGATTAGGTTATTTATAATGCAGACACTTATACAAAAAGTTCTAACAACCACTACAGAAGATTAAACATATGTTTGTTCTTGAAAAGTATACTTTTTTCCCAACTAAGGATAAAACTGATTTATACCTATATACATTTGTTGATGAATACTAAGTAAAATGTGCACAGAAAAATGGAAGAAAGAAGAATTCTACTTATTTCATTGTTATATTAGACTAAATGTAATTGAAAAGTCATTTTAATGTTATAGTAATAACATGTTATTTGCAATATAATTACATATATTTGTCATTAAATTACAATTACTTTTAATTGAAAAAAAATGATCAACTATGAAAAAAAACTTCCGATTAGTTGAAAGTTTGTACTTTATCACACACTCAATTTCAATACGTTTTTCAATTACCCCTTCCATACTTGATTGATAACGCAAAAGTTCCTTAAAACATATACATGGTCACTTTTATAACATAATGTAGAGAGTAGAAGTTTCTGATTAGAAAGTCATACCATTCTAGCAAATTAGTGCTCAAAATTTTGATACGATGAATATCTTTTCGAAGGATAAAGTGGTTGTGTTCTCAATAATGAGAAGGAGAGTACATGTTATGTTCATAATTTATGGAAGGCCAACATTTTAAATATAATACACCCTCAGTAATATTCACATGTATTATATAGTACTAGTATTTTTAGTATTAGTAAATGTATATTAGTATTTTCCTAATTTTTAATTTTATTTCACCACAAATTATTTCTGCATTCAAAATTATTTTAGTTATTCCGTTATAAATTCCGTTATATTCCGTTTAAATTTAGTCAAATGCTGAATATATTTTCTGACTTCTTAATTAATCTACTTACGCGTGAATTTTCCTCATGTCTGAAATTGAAGCGTTTGGAGTTTTCCGCTGCCATCCTGTAAATCAGAAATTGAAAGAAACTTAAACTGGCATACATCTACAATAACAAATTTAGAAATATATAAATAAAATGCATTTAATATGTACAATAATAATTTGAAATAATATTTTAAAAAAAACACATGCATGTCATTATATTCTTGTTTAAGACTAATTGACAAGGTTAAATGAAGAGGATACTTAAAACTTTTAAGGCGATAATCATGATACACGCACTAGAAAAAAATTCTAGAATAGATTAACAAATCCTTAGTAAAACCTTTAATATAATTCTTTCTGGGATCATATTGTTACAGGAAAGCAAAGTATTTGATGTTCCCAGAGTAAGTAAGAACTTTACCTTGTGAAGAATAAGTCCAAGTGAAAGTCAATCTCCTAGAAAAAACACTTTAACCACCAGATCACAAGACACAGATAATTTTCGAACAATTTTTTACAATTAAAGATAAAAAGCATGCACAAATTAAAGATATATGTAAACTAATGAAAAAAAATGTTTGAAAATGAATTAGAATATCGCAGAAAATAAAACAAGAAAAATTGTTTGTAAACAATTATTCCCGAATTTGATGCAGCGAAAATGAAGCAAGACTATCTCAAACGACAAAATCGTTCGAAAGAATTTGTGTCAGTTTCACAGCTCTGAATCTGACTAGGTGTAAGGGGCTCATAAAGGGTTTACTGAAAAAAAAGAATTTAAAATATACAGCGATTTTTTTTTTTACAAAGCATATTGATCTTTTGATGTATTTCTAATGAACATAATATTCAGCTGTAAAACCTCGAAATTAAGGAATGGATGCAAATATTAGCAAAGCATAACATAAAATATCAAAAATTTTCTAAGTGCAGAGTTTCTCTCTCTCTCTCTCTCTGACCTAAATGCTACATACATTCTTTAAGATTTACGGTTACACAAAATATCGTAAGAATATAAAAGTTTAACATTGTTCAGCCACTTTTTTTCTGAGTGGAAAAAGAATGAGCTTGAATTATGGTTATAATCTTTTAATATTCCAGTGAAGATTGTAAATGGTAGAAATGATGAATAATTTTAGTTTATATGTATATTATGTATAGATATTTTTCATGTATAATGGAGAGTTTATAATGCTTACTGTAATTGTTGGTGTTGAGGAGTCGGACAGATGGACACTAGGGGTTCCACCCCCCGTAGACTTTCGCTATGCGTGCATAATTATGTTAATTTTGTGTATACTGATGGGCCGTATGACTTAAAGTTGTGTAATAAAGAAAGAATTCTCATTATCAAACATTGATAATTGATACTGAACAATTTTATGAGTTATGGGAGACATAATGGAAAAGAAACCTGGATATAGAGAATAATGTTTTCCCTTTACACTGTGTTTAATGTCTAATGAAAATATCTCACTTTATTCATGTATCATATTCTAACTCTTTCATGGCACTTGATCCCCACCCCTGTTTTTAGAGGTCCCTGTTGTAAATGGACTTTTGATAATGCTTACTGTTCGTTATCTTTACATTTCATTTCAGTTAAAGCATCAAGAAAAAGGGTGGGAAAAACACAGAAAGAAAACAAAATATATATGATACGAGAGACACGTGCTCAGCTCGAATTTTCTCTCCTTGTAATAGAATCAGCGACAATAAAGTTAGAAGTACTTTAGCATTCTTTTATTCATAATTAGAAACCGCGTCTAGATATCGTGTACACTTGTAAAACACAATCAACGATCGGACAGTAGGGTTTCACTTGGGGTCTTGAATTGACTTGAAACATCTTTCTTGAAACAAAATGTCTAAAATTGAAATTATGTGGGTTTGTGGATGTCCCTCTGTAAATAACTTTTTTTTTACACAAAGAACAATACTTCCTTGTGTAAACCAGCTATGGGCACTACACTTGTTTCTATATAATGTATAGAATATGTTAAACTGTACCAAAGTTGATTTATAATTTGAAAATATTGCAACAATTATTAATTAAACTTCTTAATTTTATACATGAAGTATATAATCCCGAGAAAAGTTTATTTCTTTGGTTAAACACCCAAATCTCTGGTCAATACTTTTCGGCCAAAAATTGGACCTATTACTTTTTTATGAATTAGGCATATCTTTATTTCAAACTAAATTGAAGAGCCAGTGGTCAGTACTTTACAAAAATGTAAACTTCAGTATCTTTTTTTATTATTCATTTATTTATTTATTTAATTTGACAAAAACCACATGTGGCGCAAGTCATACATACAGTAAACAAATATATAGTCACACAGATTTTCTGATATTAAATGCATCACGTATGAAGTTACAAATGTTGATTTAACATCTGCTGGATTAAGAATTTCATAAGATATACATGTATTGTTAAAAAGTGTACAAAATTCACTTCTTAGTTGTTCATAAAGTGGACATACAAATAAAAAATGATGTTCGTCTTCAACAACAGTTTGACAATTAATACAATATCTTTCATCTCTTGGTATAATTGGATTTTGCCAACATGTTTTTTCCATTTCCTGCAAGTTTTTCATCGTCTAAATATGCATGTTGTAAAAGCAAGTTTGAGTTCTCTTGATCTGAAACAATTTTCTGTAATCTGTAATAATATCTAAATAATAATTTATATATTCTGAAAATAATGGGAAGTGCACCAAACGCTACTCTAACTGCTAAATTAGAAGCTTTATTATGGACACCTAAAATGTCTTTCAAGATGAAATTTTAAATTTTTTCGAATGGAGTTTTATCAAAGTCTTTTGTCATTTCTTTAAAATCACTTATCCAGATTTCCTAAACATAAGTCAATTATTTGCAAATATTTTTTTTTCAAAGAAACGTTGCATATTTTTGGGGTGCACGCTTTTAAAACCCCTTTGAAAGGCTTAGATGACTAAAGACAACACTAAAATTGTGTTTTTATTCCTGATAAATATGATTCATTAATACACTCAGGTGACCAATATCTATCCATTCTCCTTTTTTGCTCTTCACCACGGGTTGTATGTAATTTTTTGAACATTTTCAGCCTCCTCTTTGAATTACCCATACCTTTGTCAACCACATTTTGTATATTACATCTATAGACATAGGGAAACAGCAGCTTTGGATGTCATGGCACTGAGGCTTTATGGATGCGTGCAACCAAAAATCATAGAAAAATCATGCTTTAAAATGTTCTCCTTACTCCCGGACATCTGGAAGGAAAACTGTTTTATTATTATGAAAAGCACAGAGACCCCTGCATAAATTGTAACATTCATAATACTGGGTCCAGGTCTCAGGGTCGAGGATGGGTGGGGTAAGTGATGATATACTGAAAATACATCCTTAAAAATCATTTTCTTTGCATAATATGGACTTTCTAAACCTTTTTGCACATGTACAGAACATTACCAATCACAATCAAAAAGATGATTTGGCTCTTACAAAAAGTAAGGGAAGTTCAGGGAACCAAGTTTTTTGAGAAAAATGACACTTTTTGACCCCCAATCCCCAGGGTGAAAATTGAAATTTAAAAATCTTAAATTCAGGCAAATGTGTGAATTCGATTTTAAAAGGGTACATTATCAGGGGAAAATAACACCTGAAAAAATCCTTGACTAGCCCCACAAAAAGAGGAAAAGTTTCATCTTTAAAGGACCAAAAGTAAAAATATTCTTTTATTTTTTTTTTCTATGGCCCTGACATAAATAAATCAATCAACTGTTGAGGCTTCCAAAACTCGGAGATTAAGCATTGCCTTTTGAAATAACAAAAACATATGGTGCTGAGTACTGTTAGTAAATCCAACTTATTCTCTAATGTACAAAGATAGGGTATTTTTCCTATCATTTTTATTTTTTATTACTTACAAATCCATCTGATCATTTTAAACTATGAAAGAACTTATACCTATTAAATATTTTATATAAGTCTCTTATTAGTCCCCTACCGGTGAAACCGGAGGGGACAATAGGTTTCCTCTGAGTCTGTCTGTCCGTCTGTCTGACTGTCTGTCCGTCTGTCTGTCTGTCAATCTGTCCCACTTGGTTTTCCGCACTTTTATTCTAAACGCTTGCAGATATTGAGATGATTTTTGGTATGTGAGTGTATCTTGATGAGTTACAGATCAAGTTTGCATTTTGTTCCACTTCAATGATTTTTGACGGAATTACGATTTTTTCAATTTTTCAGGGTTTTCCGCAATTTTTTTTCTAAACGCATGCAGACATTGAGCTGATTTTTGGTATGTGTCTTTACCTTGATGAGTTATAGATCAAGTTTGCATTTCGTCCCGCTTCATTGATTTTTGACGGAATTATGGCATTTTCAATTCTTAACGGGAACCAGGTTACACTTGCCGGTAGGGGACTAGTATTGCTAATGCAATACTGTCAGAATGCTTGTTCAACTGACTTTTCAATCATATTATTTACAGTGATTAATCATCAAAAGTGTATAGCAAAAAAGGAATAATTTCTCTCCAGGACTGGGGTCAATTACATTGAAAAGTAATATGCATGTAGTTTAATTACAGTTAATTTGCTTTATTCTTTAATTGAATTACATTTAAATTGCAGAACACTTAAGGCAATCACATTTACTTCGCAAAATTTATTACTTTAATAACAAAATACATTTTCATTTTTGCAAACATTTATGATACTTGTGAATGAATGTAGAACATGGTCTTTGCTCAGCTTATATGCTTATTGTTCATTAAAGCAAATTTACATACTTTGGATATTATAAATATATTTTTAAAATAAATTTTGGGGAGTTATTTGTTTCTTTCTTCAGTACAAGACCTACATGTACATGATTGATATACATCAGCTTAACGAAAGGATACTTTCAGACTCGTCGCACAGTACAAAAAGGCGTCACTCTTTTTTGTCTATAAGGGACACAGACTTTAAGAGTCCAATCGGTGTCCCTCGGATTATCCTCAGGTATATTAAACATATGTCATATGTGCAATCTTAAGATTCCCAGTTTTGGTATAAAAACAACAGTTCTTACAAAAAT